AATCCCGACAAAAAATTCATTATGTGGAAAATTCTCTAAATAGAGATTCATCTTTCAATATATTTTATAAACCACTTAAAACACAAATTTAAACTCATAAGCACTATTATTACTAAACAAGTAATTGTTTTATATTAAAATTGAGGAATTTTGATAACATTTTCTAATTTTAAACATAATTTTTTATAACCAGTAATTTTAAGCATGTATTACATGCGTCCTGAGATTTAATTACTGGTAAAATCTGTTAGTTTTCTATGAAAATATATTTTCTCTCATATAATACACCTCACATCTTTCCAATGCACCCATACCTCAGGCGCATTTTCTCCACACTGTAATCCGTTTATCATTTCATCATACGAAGATAAAGAAATATTGTAAAAATAGGGATATATGATTTACCGAACTTTTTCTTGTTAAAAAGTTAACTTGCACACTATTTAGTAGGGAAGCATTAAATACAGATGTAAAAATCGTCTACTTTAGAATTTTCATTAAAATTACTTATTTAGAGAAATAAAAAAAGTTTTTTTATATGATTATTTATTCTATTCAGCTAAGCTATCTTTGAAAAGTATATACCATTTAATAAAAAAACAACTGAAAAATATAACCTTAAAAAACAATAATCTTTTTTCTTTCCTTACAATCCTTTATAAATATTATTCATTGTTTTGATCTTCTCTCTCCTCCCTATTATATAATCAAAAAAACTTCAGCAACCCTATTTTTTATTACCAGGAAATTACATGTTCAGAGGAGATTAATCTCGAATAGAAATCTAAAAAGTTCCCTTCCTTTGCAAATACATTCCTAAAGAAAAAAAAATTATCTAAAAAGAAATAACAAAAAAGTATGAGTTTTTTTTTACCATTAACCATCTTATATATTTCCAGTAATTCAAGTGCAATTCTTTCTAATGAATACATAAAGACTTTCTTTTAAACCACAAGCATTTGTTATCCTGCATGTTTGTTATTACCAAAAATGTAAGTTAAAAAAATAAATGATTTGCAAAAACCAAAAAATAAGTTCTTTTAATTTAATACACTACAATTTTTTAAAGGTGGGAATCATCACCTTAACTAATAGTAACTTAAGATGAAAAAAAAAAAGTACTAAAAAACTTGGTAAAAAAAAAAAGTCTTAAGATACACCTCCATTCTAATTAATATACAATTCATGTGTAAAATTGCAAAAAAGATGAAGAGGAATTTGAATAGAACTTGGGATAGGCGCCACTTAAATGAATTTTGAGCTGTGGTCGCCAGTCTCTGATATAAAACAACGAAACGTAGTCTTAAAGACTTAACGAATCATATGTTTCTGATTCTGGAAGCTTAACTAATTTTAAATGGCTAAAATAGCTTTAACAATTGGCAACGACAACTGTCGATATTACAGAATTTTAATTAACATTTAGAATTATTAAGCATTTAAGATTTTCGGAAAAAGTTTATTATTGAGCTCATCATCTTTTAAACCAATCTAAAAAAGTTAAATGGACTTTAATTCAGAATAAGTTCTTCGGAGCATTTAATGTTCATTTAAAATTATTGACTATAATTTAAAGTTTTTCTAGATTTTTCCAATTTCAGGCCTTCAGAAATTATTGAAAATGATTTAAGAAAATCAGATTTTAAAAATCATGAAACTACCTTGATGATAGCATATTGGATATTTTATGGTAATGCTTTTTATGAGATAATAGAATGTTTTAAAAAAGAGAGACTGCATCTTCAGCATACCTGAAAAATTTAAACTTATTGTTTTTTTACAAGAAAAGAAGCTTAAAACTTAACTTTAAGTACCTGATTAATCTTTTTTTGACATCGTGTTCAAGGTTCTTTTTTAATGTTATCTTAAATAATCTTACGTTAAGGTCAAGGTGAGGTGTAACGTGTCAAAATGTCGCTGTCCAAAATGAACTACAGGATGTTTAGTGCTGTTTTTGTTTCCATTTTATCTTTACTTTTCTTATTCGTTTATTTCAAAAAGTAGACATGTCTGGATACTATCTTCACTGAATTTGTTTAAATGTACGTTATCTTATTTCAATGTCAGTTAAAAATTGAATTATGCATCATTTTCTTTTTTTATGAACTAATCTATCTACAAGTATCTCAAATTAGCATTATTACACTTTTTAGCCAACTAAAAAGTGTAATAATGCTAATGAATGCACACAATATTCTCAATAAAATTATGCACCCGATGTGTAAAATAAAATAGTCATGAAATATATGAATATACACACAGATATATCTATATACAAGCACACATTGAAAAACTGTAAAATCCAGTGTATAACGAGAACAAATACTTTCAAGCTACAATCTTTAATTTTTAGGTATATTCGCCGTATGACTCGCATATCATTTTTTATGAAGAAACCTGAAATGTACGTGCACGTTTGTTGCACTCTTACGTTTTGAATTCATTTATCCAAGTTATTACTCCAAACTTTAGAAAAAAAACAGTATGCTTCTCTGGAACTACAATCCTTCAAGTTCATGAGAAATATGTCATTTCTTTTAAACAAACATTATTTCGATCTATGTAGAAGTCTAATTTTTTTCTACGCTCATCCGTTTTTTATTCTTAAAGCTCTCATTTTTATACCCGAGAGAGAGACGTATAACGTGCACCTGTAAATTTAAATCTTATTTTTTGTGTTAAAAGTGCGCTTCATACACCAGATTTTATGGTTCATGTATATATAAACGCATCTAACTAATCGACTTATCTGTAATAAATGGTGGAAATAGCGTTATATGGAGCATTGTACAAGGAGTGAGTGTTTATTAACTTAAACATCTAAAGCAACTCGAAGGTTATTGGAGGAATGCCCAGGAGGACCGAGCTCAAGTTCACATAAAGGGCTAAAGCCACAAACCGGCCTTCCAGAAAAAGATCACCCCACATTCAGTCTTTATTGAGGAGAAATATTCTTTTTTTTTTACAGAAGTCTGTAGACAAATTTAAACAGAACTTGTTTTACAAGAACGTAGTTTCTTCATACAAATAAGTTTTGCACAACATAAATTATTTAGTTTCAACGAATTTCTTTATCTGTCGTATAAACATATCGAGAACAACACATTTTTTTTAAAGAGTTAAGAACAAAAGTATGCATGTATCATACACAGAGGAAAAAAATGCAAGTACAATATATGGTAGAAACTATATTTTAAGCTTACTAAGGAACAGAATCAATAATTTTACTAGCATATGTACATGTAAAATCAAGAATTGCATCTTAAGTTAATTGTAAAATTATATTTTAATCAGAAAAGAGAATTTTGTGCTCTGAAGGAATTTAAAAAAGTAGAAAGAAATATTGAATCTTGTCGGAGGTATCTTTTGCTATTTTAATACAAGAAATTAATTTAGCATGAATATTTCGATTGTTAACTAAAAACTTAAGCCATAACTTACGGGATACATAGGTAGGCTCTTAAAGGTCATAATTTTTTGTGAAAGTGCAGTGGAACACATAGTGTTATCCGCATCCCCAATATATCCACTGAGACAATCGGAGTTGGTTTTTAATTTAAATCTGTGAAAATAGAACAGAGACTGTGGCCATGGTAAATTAATAACTGAACAATGTACCTAGGATTTGGATTAATATTAACATTAGGGGTCAGTAATTATTCTTTGATTCGTAGATCAGTATCAGATTTAACGAAAGCTATTGGCGAAGGACCTCATAATTTTGAACCGTGGTCAAGTGACGAGAACGATACCTGAGCTAACACGTGCCTCTCCTATCTTCCCCACTACATCAACGTGAGGAATCACAATAGGTGCATCAGCCTTTCTAATAGACGCGTCTTCAGTGTCATCAGGACTCGAAGCTGCGACTTTGTAAAACCGTTCACGGGATCATGGCCACGAGCTTTAGATTACTATGGCTACGAAGAGCTGTATAAATACGGTTGACAGTGCTAAAAAAGTTTCGATGCTCGTTTTAGATGACATATATTTTGTTTTTAAAAAAGAGGAAAACTTTATATGGATTAAGTGATTTTTAAATGTTTCTCGAATGTTTCTGCTCTCTCCTTATGTTAATTTTTTTTTAAACAAATGCAATTACATACTTGATATTAAAAACATGAAACATTATCTGGATTTTACAAAATTCCAAATGATTTATACTACTAATACATTTCTTAGATTTCATTTCATTTCCTTCATCTCAATCACAAAGGCAATTATTCTTTTTAAAGAATATTCAAATTTCTTTTTGATCAAATAACAATAAGATTTTATGTATATATACAATTTGTGTAACAAACGCTTGATACATTGTATTGTCTCATTTGCTGCATACATTTTACAATTTGATTCAATGTCTTTGTCCTTTCTTTGATGACAAACCTTTTCGATTATATTAATGCAAATTTTTTCTATCAATCGCTGAATCGGGATCATCGAGGCCAGAAAGTCTCTCAATGTGATAGACCTTTTGATAGCAACCGTTTCATTTCATACTTCGTGAAGAAAGAAAGTGAAGAAAGGATTATTTGACGACGATATTCATGGACAGAAATGTTTTAGTGCAGATGTCTTTAACCTAGGTTCCTTGGAAGTTTGACAGGGATTACGGAAGAGATCACTATTTTCTTAATCAAAGCAATAAAACTTAAGTAAAATCTTAATTTGTATAAAATATCGCATTCTAAAATGTAGTTTGCTTGTAAAAACAAGTAATATAAAAAAAAAAATTAAGCCAATTCCTACTTAGGTCAACAAAGAATATTTTTGTTTTAGTTACTTTTTATTAAATAGCTACAGTTAATAAAAATATGTTTATACATATGACAGAATCACAATATTAAGCGGCACAATAGAAAGCGATTTTCCATTTTCCTTTCTGTATAGGGTGTTGGACTCTATTTTTGTTTTTTTGTTACAATTTATTCATTTTTTAAATTTAATTATTCCAATAAAATAGTATAGTAGAAAAGAAATCACATTCTCACAAATTAGGTCATCCCAGGAGGGATTCGAACCCACGACCTTTGAATTAGAAGTCCAACGCGTTACCCATTACGTGACAGGGACACAACGAGCGATTTTCCTTTCGATATATGCTGTTGGATTATTATTTTTGTTTGTTGCTATTTATTTATTTTTTAATTTAATTAATGAATTAATATTTGAGAAAACTGTATTAACGTCAAGTGTCATCCACTACAAGTTTTAAAAAAATGTATTTGAACTTGAATGGATGAAGAGAAAGTATTTTATTAACTATTGAAAATTTGAACAAGATATATACATATATATATATACATATTTATAAGGAGAGAGTGAACTAATTGTAGGAATTGAATAATGTAAATAAATATTTTAAGGACTCAATAAAATCTTACTTTTGGTAAAAATCACGTGCTTCAAGCACGAATGGAGAAATCAGATGGCTTGCCAAAGAAGGAGGAGCAACTTATCGACGCACCGACAGATTCGACATTAAGTCTAAATTTGATCACGAAAAGCCATTAAATTTTAGGTTGCAAATTTGCAGAATAATACACATAGAAGTTTCTCACACAGTTATGATCTTTTGAATACCATTCTGTGAACAATTTATTTAAGATTAAAATATCTCTTAACGTATGTAAAAACAAAAATAAAATGTAGGAGAAAATTAACGCAGATTATGAAATGCGACTGCTGATTGCTTCAATATATCGAGACTTCGATACTTTGTGTAAAAAAATGCACACAAGCATCCATATCCCAATTATTAAATGTAATGTAATGCAATGGTAGAAGAGCACGAATTAATGAAACAATTAATTTAATACTATGTTAAAAGTTTTGAATAAAGAATACAGTATTTTCTTAATTGTTTTTAATTGAAGTACCCATTAACGTGTTGGTCTATCTTAAATATTATTTTAAGATATATTCTTCTAAGGGGCCTTTTTTATGGGGTTCTCCAGAAACACCTTGCAGTTTCAAGGGTTATGTTAATCCACAAAGCTTGAAGTTCGCAGTTTTAATAAATATTTAAGGTATCCACATACGTTTCTAGATCAATGCTTGACTGAAATTTAAAAATGTTTTTATCCTTGCCATTTTTTGTAGGGAAAAATATCGAGCTGGCAGAAAGAAAAAATTTAGTAAGATAAAGAAAGAAGAAAGTCTATGCTATGAAACTGGTAAATTTTAAACATTTAAGCATTATTTTAGTAAAATAAGAATTAAAACTTTTATGAAGATTGTATTTTTTTTGTCAAAGTTATGCGACTTAAAACCTGATACCTCAAAAACGTATGAATGTATTTCTTTTAAATTTTGTATTATTTTTACAAAGACAAGGAACTAAGGACTTAGCTCTAACCTCAATACTTTTTTTTTTAAAGTTTATTGTTACGAACATCATGCATTTAATAAAATCTTCTGTAAGGAAATGTGCAGCGAGCCATAACCTTTTGGTAAATTTGAAAATATTTCGGAATGTGCTGCGTTCGGAACCGTGATTTTGCAAAAGCGTATAAATGGATAATATTTATGATATTTAGTGTCACTTAGATTAGAAAATGTATCTAAAATTGTTTTAAGAATAGTATTACAATAAAAAATTATTTAAGTACATTATTTTGACAAAAAATGAACATAGAATGACCCATTTTTGAAATATTCTCCTTTTGTGAAAAATGCTTCTATTATAATAATATTTTGCCTATATATAGCCCAAATCTCTGTTCAGAGACTCAACTAGAATTTTTGAAATTTATAACTTAGAAGTGGGTTTATCCATGTTTTGAGACAACAGAAGGGAGAAATTTTAAGAAAAAAACGCCGATAATTATTTCAAATGGCTGTAACTCTGAAAATAATGTGAATTTTTCCAAAATCATAGTTGAGCCTCTGTACAAAGGTCTTAGCTATATACAGGCAAAATATTATTATAATAGAAGCATTTTTCACAAAAGGAGAACATTTTGAATAAAGGTTATTCCAAGTTAATTTTTTGCCGAAATATTGTATTGAAATAATTTTTTTTGTCAAAATGTCCTAAAAACAATTTTATACATGTATTCTAATGTAAGTGACACTAAATATAATGAAAATTATCCATTTATGCGCCTTTCTAAAATCACGGTTCCGAATGTAGTCGGATACCTTAAGTGTGTTGTGTGAAAAAATGATTTAAATATATGACCTTAAATTCCATGTGGAGTGTTTTGAAACTTGGAATAATCTCCCCCAAATTTTACCTAAATTATATTTTAATAAATTTAAATTGTCATATAATTTCTTGATTGGTGTTCTTCATTAATTTAAGTCATAAACACCAATAGAATAACATAAAATTACTAATAGTATGACATTTTAGAAAACTTTTCTCCAAACGTTTAGGGATACTTACAGTTTTAAAATATTTTCCACAAACTTATAGAATTCTCAAAACCGAAAAATATCTTTTTGACCAGAAAATTTAGTTTTGTAGAATTTTGAGAAGCGTCATTAATAAGAGAAAGTATCCCTTCACATACTTGCAAAATGAACATTACAGAAGTATTGCTTTCGGAGAAAGAAACTCTCAAAAGACTTTTTATTGTTGCAATTGAACATTGCTGCCTAAATTATGAATCTTTTTTTGTCTGGAACTTAGTGAGTAGTAGTTTTGCCAGAGCCACAAGATATAATTAACTCACAGCTTATAAACAAATCATCATTAAATGCAGACATGACCACATTTAATATTCATATACACAATCATGGTAATTCCCCACTTACTCATCCATATTCAAGATCTCACATCTGTTTAGCACCTCTTTAGCGTACGTTAAACCTCGGAAAATCCATTCTGCATTACCTTCAGTTTCTTAATGACCGATCATCTCGCTCCTGAGGTCGTACCACTTCGAGAAGAGAAGGTTTTTTTTCTTTTTCGAATGAGTCGTGAGTGACCGTGGCGGAAAAGTAAGTCACCAGGTCGTGGGAAGATGTGGACTCCCCCACCTCAGGAGTGGGAGAGTTTAGTTGTTTTCATATCGCTTGTGCATACATACATACGCATATTGCTAGGTGTTGGCCGATCATTTCTCTTTTCAATTGTTTTATGTATGGCAATTTGAAGTGTGGCGAAATCTGGAGGAAGGGCACGCTTAGAAAGAAAAGGTCGAGAGAGAAAGTAACGTTCCGCTCCAACAGAAGTGTCAGTAGATGTGACATGAATTTCTAGGGTGATTTATTATGGGTAAAAATTTAGAAACGTATATAAGAACAGCAATATATTCAAATATGTTACCATTTTTTATATTATTGAATAATAAATTAGAGTTTGTAAATATATTTTATGCAACGATAACTAGAGTCATATAGAACTCACGCCAAGAAAAACATACTTAAAAGTTTTGAAACGTAATAACTGTTGTATTTGTTACTAGATTAAGATTATTATTCTAAAGAAAATGTTACCTTAAAAGGAGAGTGGTCAATTTATCTTGCATAATCCAAAGTAAATAAGTTGTCTTGAAACTATTTGAAAACTATCAAAAAGTTAAACTTATTTTAAGCGTTCAAAAAACAAAACATATTGAATAGATGCAATGCAATAATTAGAACCGACCCTTGAGGATTTTTCAGTAAAGAAGTATTTCCCTAATTTGTGCATACATTCTAACAAATTATATATACTCTGTTATAGTTCTTTAAAAATTTTAAATTTTAATTTAAATATTCTTAAGTAAAGTCAAGTTCTCAAATTTTTAAAAGTTAATTTTTATTTTAATGATACTAATTAACATTGGCTAAGGGAGAGTCTTTCACAGCCATCTTAAATGTAAAAAAGGGAGATTAGAGCCCAACAGTGCTAAGTGCTCCAGAAAACATCCCTAAATTCATTTTCTAGCATTCCTACCCTACATTTTCTAACAAATTAATTTCCGGAATCCTTTTTTGTATTAACATGCTAATATTTCTTCTGTCTTCTATAACTGCAGTTTTTTTAACATGATTAATGCACAAGCTAATAATCTCTAAAATTTTTCAGAAGCATCTTTGTTTAGTAAAACGCTGTATTCGGAAGTTAAATATATCACAGTAAGCGATTGGGGAATTTGCAAACCTAGTTTAAATTCCAAAATTAAAAGAAATAATCCAACATTTAACTAATACTTTTATTTATAGAAAGTAATTCAAATATACTTTGACCGGGCTGAGAATAGGGGTCTCGTAAATTAAATGCGAATTAAAAGGATTCATTTTCAGAGGAAATTTTTTTCACTGAAACTCTTCCGATTGTCTAAAGTATGAAAAATATTAAATATTGTCAAAATTTCGGCTTCAATTTCCTTTTAATCTTATGATTAATTTAACTGAATTTAATTTTTTTAAATATATCTTTTTAAAATCGTGTCGTAATTTTTGATAACCTAAAACGTATCTTCAAAGTATAGATTTTCATATTGTTAAGAAAACATTTTTACGATTCGTCTGTGAATGTAAATATAAACTCAAATTAAATTATTACTAAGAATTTATCTTGAATATCTAGGATAAAAATATATTATGTAAATTGTATTCTTAAATAAAAATTAAATTTTAATATATGATTAACTGCACACATAAATTGATCTAAGGCGAAATACAATACAAGTTCAACTACATTTCTCTTACAAAATCATAAAGGTGCAAAAACAATAATATATAGCCATTGAATACAAAAGGAGAATCCAATTAAATGAAAAAAGGACCCTTCCTGCTTCAAAAACGTGTCTTGTCACACGTACAATATATCATCCAATGAAATTATGTGACCTCTACTCTTACCGGAATGTAATCCCCAACCCTTTTGACTCGAACCTTTCACCGCGGTAATTTGGTAATCAGTGAGAAGACATATTCTAATTTATTATTTTGTGAAAACTCTAAGGTTTGGTCACCGGATTTTCATCATATATATATATATATATGAATACCCTTGTCAAATTATATGATTATCATATAATCCTCGTCTATTTTATATGATTGCTTCGCATGAATTTCGCGCCTATATTTTTGTCTCTGGTCCTAAAATTTAACGAGAAAGATTTTTTTAATTCTTT